ACAATTAAATATCATTAGAAATATAGGTGGAAGGTCGTTTCCGCTCAAAATCCTTTTTCGCAAGCAGGTATAAAATGATTAAATTTAATTGAATTAAATTTAACACATCCATTACAGTGACCTCGATGACAAAATATACTTGACACTATTTCTATACCTACACCTGAGCTAAAGCGATTTTCTCTTTTTTTTTTTTTTAAGTAATATTTAGCTGCAGCCCTCGATATTCAATATCACTTAAATCAAATCTCAAACTAGACAAACAAGTGGAAAATTAAGATAAACGAAAATAAATCAGTTCAAATAAATTTCACTGTCAACAAAATTGACTGTTCTCAACTATCTATCAATAACATACTCATACCGATTAAAAATGTAATCAGATATTTAGAAATCCTTTTGAGAAAAAGACTAACCTAGGTCAAACATACAATATATAAAATAAAACAGTCTAACACTTGCCCAAACCTTCTGCGCCCATTACTTTTCTCTTCAATAAGTCTAAAAAATAAAATTTTAATATTATATATGTCAATTATAACTCCTCTCTGATCATATGGCATTGAAATCTGGGGCCTAGACAAACTCTCAAATATAAGACCACTTCGAGTATTTCAATTAAATATATGTTTTAGACGAATAACTCGAGTCCTGTGGTATATGATCAAAAACGTTATATATAATGATTCACAAATACAAACAGTTAATGAAGTATCAATCCGTCATTACAAAACATTTCATTCCAAACTCCACTCAAGCCAAAACTCACTAATCTCTCATATATCATCAATCACCATTCCCAGTAACCTACCGAGAAGACTTAAAAAAAAAAAAAATGACCAAGAGACGCTCTTTTATGAAAAAAAAAACAGTTCCTCTAAACTCATCTTAATTAAGAGGTACTGTTGCTAAACAGCTCACTTCCTCAAGTCAACAAGCCAACTTTATTCTATTTTCAAACTGTTTTTTTTTATTACACTATATTTTGTGTGGATTATAATAATTGTAAATAAAGTTTTTTAATTACAAAAAAAAAATATATTAATTTTATTTACTTATTATTTAATATTTATATATTTTATAAATTAACTTGTTACCTATATTTTTGAAATCAACGTTTATAATTTATCAATTTTGAGTTTATTTTATGCAAAAGTATAATAACTAAACTACATTTCAATGAAATTAAATCATCCCGGTATTTTAGTACTTATTTACCTATACTTTTAAGTTTTATTTATTTAAAAAGCTATAGAAACCATAAAAACTTCCAAGATTTAATACCAATAACTTCGAAAATGTACAATCATCATTTTTATAATTATGTTCATTATACCGTTATAGTATTTATCAAATAATCTGAATTTAAAATTCATGTCTCATGTTTATAGTGATAATCATTTTTCTATGGATGTAGATATAAATAATGATTTATGCATAAAAGTATAAAATATCCCAAATATTAAAATATTTTAATATAAATATATAATATATACCCAAGAACAAAATATTAGAACATTTATAACACGATTGTATTAAGTTAAAATATAATTGGTGGGTTTAATTTAAGATTACCACTATTTGAGAACAGTTATCCAAACTCGACAGTCTTCCACTTTCCCATCGTTTGTAAACAATCTTGAAATTCTTATACGACTCTGACTTAAGAAAAATATTGAAATTCATCTTTTAGATAAGTTGTCTATTTTTTTTACTAAAAATAAATTTTTGAATTTTATCTTTCAACCCAGTTAATGCTACATTTTATATCCATTAATTTATAATTTCATAAAGTTAGGAGACATTATTTATTAATTTATTGATTTATGTAACTTTTATCTTAACTTCATTTTATACCTATGTAGGTATTCTCTCAAACGTGTTGTAAAATAAATGAATAATTTATTAGTAGTAGGTAATTGGCTCATTGTTTTTTAGATAAGAATGTAGGATGATGATAATTAGTTGTGTAATACTCTGATGTTATAAAAACGGTTCGATGTTAAATCATCTTCAAAAATCGATTTTCAAATCCTTGTAGTGGTTAATATATGAGGCCGCTATTTAAACAGACAAACGTCGTTGTCGGCGGACGGCATGCAATTTTTGTATTATGTTTCTGTCTAAATTTAAACGCGATTTTGGCCACAAAAACGGATATCTCATTTGGTTCATCACACACACGAGTGCGCGTTGTTGCCCATCTTTTTTGTCGAGATGTATCTTATCTATCATCTCAAATATATTATATAATAATATATCCAGTTCTTGAATTATTCTACAGTGGGCGGAGAACACTGCAGGGAACGGAAATTATTAATTATTTTCATACTTTAAGTTCACTTTTACTAATTATTTTCATTACAAGCGATTATAAAAGGCGGTAGGGTACCTAGATACGTTCATTTTTACAAAATATATTTAACGCGTGATAAATCATTCCGCAAAATCATATTGAAGAAGTACGATACCTTAAAATCAATTTTTTAAGCAATTCAACATATCATTATTATTATATGATACTGCAAAAAAGCTTTGAGATCATGATTTAATTTAAATTTAAACAAAAGCATAAACGTCGAACTAATTAATATTATTTTTAATATGAGCTTTGGTTCCTATTATACAAGTAAGGTTGAGTTCAATAATTTCTACAGACATTGATTTTTTTCAAATCTATCTTTTTTAAATTTAAATTAACTTAATTTTCTATGAAACACCGTTCTTCAGCTGCACAGACACACTAGCTCCAACAAATTTGTAACTGCTGAAAACATTTTTGATTTCCCTCTATTGATATGGCCTTAAGATTTGCTATAGCAATATTTTTATGTCTTCAATCATCGCAAAACGTTCACCTTTAAGTCCGAGTTTTAGTGCTAGAAATAGCAAGAAGTCACATGCTACAATATCTGGTGATTACAGGGGTTGTGGAATTAGTGGATATTTTTTTATCAGCTAAAAATTGTCGAACCGCAAAAGATGAGTGTCATGATACATGGTAGTCGGGATGCAAAAACCAATAATTTTCCCATTTCTCTGGCCTTTTTCAACGAATCGAATCTCTTAAACAAAGATATCGATACAACGCAAAAACACGTTTACTTGCGTTTAGGGATAGGATTAGAGTAATATCTTTTCTTATTTCATTCCTACACCATTGAAGAATAAGTAGATAGGTACCAAAAAAATTTCAAGTCTCCAAAGTCTAAGTCCAACGATTCTTTCTGAGCGTTAATGAGCGAGTGTATCGAACATAATATTCCTTTACGTTTATATATAGATAGATGCCATAGGCCGATAGGTACACTTCATAAATTGGCATTTTAATCCAATTACAATATATTGTGTTATATTATTACATAAGTGCTTTAAATTTTTATTTCTTTTCATTATAGCAAGCACCATATAGGTTCTTGTTAGTTGCATTTACATAATACATTCAAACTAAAGGTAGGACCTAAAAAAATATTTTATCAGTACATAAACCATCTGATTTTAAAATTAATTATTACTTCCAAGTATTCAAGAAGAAAGATATAATAAACTAAAATTCACGTTTAAGGGCAGTTGTTATCATGTTTTTACCGTATCTATATGCACAATAAACCTTTTTTTTTTTTTTTATTTTTTTTAATAGTAACTAATAATTTTATTACGATATATTTAAATGCTCTATTTTTTACAATCATCTAATGTATTAAATTATTTATCTGAATAGTTGACTCACGGTTTACAGTAATTTTAATGTTCCTGTGATCAATAAGGAAAATTGATTTTTCTTACGTAAAAACTTATTTTAAATACGAAAAAATAAAGATATCTTGTGATACGGGTACGTGAAACTAAATAATAATTAAGATAAAAATTCGATAATGGGACAGGGGTTGAATCCTATTACTCTATGACTATTAACTTGAACTTACGCACAATTTTTCCATTCGGCGTGTAAAAAAAATGTATTACTGTCACGTTGCGCGACAGTAGCGTTTAACGGTAGCCGATAGGTAGGTACACGCATCCGAGATATATTATTATAACAACTCGGCCAAGACATTATTATTTCAATTACTTTTTTTTATCATCTGACGGTCATCGTCGTTTCAGGACCAGCAGCACACGCAAGTGCACGTTTAATAATAACTCGACGCCAAACTACTTAAAAACATTGTGGGCTTGACCAAGTGTATAACCACTATTGCTCGTTGACCACATAACGATCATATTGTATACATTTAGTATTTTAATTAAATTCTATAAACGTATTGATTGTTACGCGGATCAAGATATTTGACTATTTGTGATTTGAAATATAAGCGTATAGTATTAAAAAGATTCAGAATACAAAGTTAAAAAAATATGTTCATATTATGTTTGAACGCGGTATAAAAAATTACATCTATACGCTGTACCGTGGTTATTAAGTACCTATAATAGCCTATAGGGCTATTATTAATAATTACAAAATACCATTTGATACAGCACAGCGTTGTTTGTAACAAAGTAAATACTAGTGTACTTAACCCTTCTTGAACCCCGTTAAATGCAAACTGCACATATTTTTAACATAGTTGTTTGAGTTATTTTGACCAACTAAGAAGTACAGATTTAAAATTATATCCAATTAGAATAATTACTTATATTTTCTTTAACAAATGGTTACAGCTTAATTTGTCACGGGCGATGCAGTACTGGATTAGCTAGTTAATATATAACATACTCATTATTACGGCAGTTTAATTTTCAGTCAATTTCTAAGTAACTAGGTAAACATAATAACATAATAATAAACATATTATCAACTGTGCTTGGATGACAAGCGGACAGGTTTGAAGGAACCGGGGGTTGAGTATAAAAAATAAATAAAAATAAATAAAAAATAAATAATAATAAAAAAACATTTATAACATAAATAAGTATATAACGGTAAAAAATGTTGACATACATAATAATAAAAATGGTTTTTTACATTAAATAATATATTTAATATCAATATTAAAAAGCAAAATATAAAAAGTATGCATTATTATACGCACGTATAATATATAATGATGTTATATTATGTACACATATTTATGTGCACGATGATCGTCTCGAGTTGATGAAAACCGTAGGTTAATAGCGCGTCTGCATGTGTATACAGGAGAATAAATTGTAAAAACAAACACGATCATCGCCATCATCAGATAATAATAAACATAAATGTCATAATATGTGAGCATAATAATAATTATAATATAATAACATATAGGAGATTGTACAATATACGTAGGAACCGGAAATGGGAAATACGATTTCGTTCGTTATTGAATTTTTCTTTTTCGCGACACAATACATCATTGGTATCATTTAATACGATATAACGCAGTCGCATCCTGTCTTCTCCGAGAAATAATAAAATTATATTATTATTGAAGGTGATGTAGAGAGAAAACAAACAGGATATAAAAATAATAATAATAATAATAATGATAATAATAATCAATAGTTGTACTCGTTAGTCGTTGGTAATTCAACGATGAAAAGCCAAGGGGAAGCGCAAATCAATGTACGAACAATAATTATTACATTATTAATTCCGTTGAAAGTGTAGTCGATTTTGCATACGCGGAGCGGCTACTAAATTAACAGGTCGCCTAAAAACAAAAATAATAAAATAAAATAATAAAGATAAATTGCGTATAAAAAAAAAAAAAAAAAACGTAATTTAAAAATAAAAAAAACTAATAAAAGTATGTTTAAGAGGGAATGACTTAAGCAGCTAGTCGCGTACTTACGCTGACTTTTACACCAGGCTTGGACGCATGGCATATATTAGATATACGATCTAAGCCATTTAAAAGTAGTGGTATTAGTCATGATCACTATAGGACACGGATTTCACTGTATTCACATTTTTTTTTTGTTTTGTTTTGATTGCCTGACAACGATACTTTCCAAGCTAAAAATATGTTTCAAGTACTTACAATCTACATACTATCCAAAGAATTATTTTTAGAACATTTTTATTTCTTTTATTAATATTTTTTTTTTTATTACTTAACGATTTTCCAGGTATATTTATTATTTATTTATTTTAAATGTTGACGGGCTGTAACTCAAATATAATATAAAATTATTTTAGTATACGTTATTAAGATACAGATTAAAACCGTAAAAAATTTAAACATCCATTAAATTCATTAATAATTACATCAAGTGATAAATAGACATTATACTTATTAACTTATTTCATATATCTAATAACAAAATTATTTTAACTTAAGTTCATTAACAGAAATGGCACATAAAGAATATTAGATTTCCTAGTATTACTACGGCTGAGAATCAGAAAATTCAATTTTGTAAGTAAAGTTGGACAATAAGTAATCTGATAATGAAATCGAGGTCAAGGCAAAATCGTTTTGTTTTCAATGTTTCAAGGTATAAAAAAGTTAGTAATAGCTTATTAGTAGGTAAGACATGTCACCTCCGGCTTATGGCCAGACGAAAAAAAAAAAATTACATATATTAAGCATAAACATATGTATTTTTAAACTATTATAACACATCACGTAGTTATTGATTTTAAAATAACACGAGTTTCAAATTTATCTTAATAAGCATATTGTAACACGACCACCGGTCAATTACATACAGATGTCAATTTTATTAATTAATTTTTGATACATTAAAATCCATGCCCCAGTGATCCCGTATAGTCCCCAGATGGCTAACATCGTTTCTCAATAGGAAAGGCTAATTCCGATCTATTACAATACGCAAAACGATTCCACTAATTTGTTGATTCAACAAATGCCAACACCACCGGCGTTTTTAAGCAAAGAATTTTGTTTTATTTTTATATAATCAAATAGTTTTAAAAATTCACTAATATTTCCGGTGCTTATGTATTTGATCTATGTATATACGAAATCTAATCAAAAAACATAGACTACTGATAGTATAGTCTCTATTATTTTATTATTTTAGTCTTTCTTACTAGTAAGCGGTTTGTATATTATAATGCTGTTTCTTATATGTATATTATAATTTGAAACAACCGGGAAATTTTCAAATACTTCTTAAGGGCCTTCTAAAAGTGGCAGGATCGCTAGAGACATTGTATGTCTAAATGGATTTAAAAGTAATCAGTTACTTCAAAGGATATTAAAAATAAATATAATATATACATTTTTTAACAGTCATTACTTTTTGATTAGACCACGTATATAGACACCGTTATACCCAGTACTTACGCCACCATTTGAGACTATGCACAGCGCGACCCAAGGCGAATGCAATTATGTACCCATTTATGTAGCGTGCAGAAAGCAAATAATGGTGTTAATATTAAAATAATAATTATTATTATTACTATTGATATAGTAATGACTAATGAGTAATATAAACGTCGTATGGAATTTTAGCAAGAAAGATGAAATGGAAAGAACATTTAAAATACCTCAAAATAAGATATATTAATAAGGAAAAAGGTAAACAGTAATATTTCGAAAGCATGACCTTTGTTGATATAAGTAAAAGACTTAATATTACACTATTATTAACCTTTTTTCAGCACAGTAAAACAAAATTGTTTTTAATTGCACTTCAAATGGACCTTTTTTTCTTACCATTTAATGAGTTCAAATTTTCAATAAGTTTTCAAAAAATAAGGGTAATATTAAGTATTTTATACGTTAAAAAAAACCTAAATCAAATGCGTTCGAAATATTTAGTCATCTTTATTGAATACACTGTATATAGACATAGGTGTTACTGTGGTAAATTTAGGCTGAGAAGGCTCACTCCGAAAAATTGCAACAAGTCTTTTTAAAATTTTTTTTTATCGGTAATTTTTAATAACAATATCGTATAATTAATTCACTTGTTTTTTTTAAATAATATTGTTATATTCACAATAATCGGTGAATAAAAAAAGCATTTTTTTTGTTTTTTGTGCTTGATTAATACATTACACTACAATTTTTTTTACATAATAATATCGTATAATGCGTATAACGTACAATTTTTCTTTTTTTTTTCATTTATTGCTACAATTTGACACGTTTGTCTAAGGTACATCATTTTTTTTTTTTGCAAGTGTCTTGTATATATAATATTCAGAGATAACAATATTATTAATTTTAATTGATGGTAAATGGTTAATATTTAATGAGCGTTATTATTATTATTACATATAATATTAAAGCCAATCGTTTTGAGTTGGAGCTAAAACACATGGTCATTCACTATATAGGGTAAGAAAAATACCCAAAAATCGTTATTGTTATTATAAATATAATTAGGTATATTAAATACAAAAACGCTAAGTCGTCGAATATCAATTACATAGCTTGAAACTTCTAAGTATCAACAGGTTCTAAGGTTGGCAACAATGGGTGAATTCTGAATGGAATATTAAATTTAGTCATGTATGTGTTACAGGATTAGAATAAAATCATAAATAGAATTTTACATTATCGACAGTTAATATGGTACAAACAAATTTCTGTATAGTCAAATTTGGGTTAAGTTTAAATTTTAGGTTACTTGCAAGGTATCGGAACAGAACGATAAATTAATGATTTACGTCGAATTCGCAGTGACAGAGAATTGTGAATTGACCTATAGCCCACTCACAATTGTTCAGTCTTGTAATGGTATGAGATTGACAGTAGTATTTTTAAGAATTTATTTTAACATTTATTCAAAGATCGTATTATAAAAAGTATTGTAATGGTTAAGTTATAAAGAGAGGTTAGGGAGTTTCCCTCGGGTATGAATATTATATTATGTAAGCCATTATATTGCACAAAAGCTAAAGTGGACGACTGTGGTTTTAGCTCACTCACAAAAATCACTTATGATTATTTTAATATTAAAAAGCAATCAAATTACTAGAAACACAAAAAAAACTATTTACGTCGTATTTCATCAAAAAAGTAATTGACTTAACAATACAATTATATCAGAATATATAACCTAAAAATGCCTATATTGTAACATACACTTAATGATTATCTTATTATATAAAAGTTTCAAAGTCTTTTTTTCTTTGTCTAATACAATTGAAAAGACTTAACAATTTTTTTCAATAATGATGACATAAAATATGTTTAATATAAGTTTGTTTTAAACAACATCCAATTATTGCTCTTTATAATACAATATACTATTATATTGTAAAGTAATCACACTATGGATTCAATGGTGCAAAGCCAAATATTGAAAATTAGGTAGGATATAATTAAGTTAATTATAATATATTCTCTTTATTTTAACTGAAAATATTTAAAAAAAATTGAGATTATTAATTTTCCACGTCTAAGAGTAATTTATCAACAAATAAATGTATAATATATCATTTCATTGAATAAAATTGTTTTTTTACTATATTAATTTCCTTTCGTTATTACTTATTATAATTACACTAGTCTCTGTATTTAACTTCAGGAACTCTGGTAACTAAATAATTAACAATATATTAATTAATTTTAAATAGCTTCATTCTTGTATACTGACAATAAAAATATAACCTTTTCGACTTTATAAAAATAAATGCCGCTCAATAATTAAAATAACTGATTACATAATACATATTACATACTTAAAATGTGATTGTATATAGGGATTCATGTTAGAAAAAAAAACAACAAAAAAACCCCTAATTGCACTTAAAATTAAATAAATTTAATAAATGGAATGATAATAAATTATAATAATAACAATAACAGGACCTCTTTGTCTTAAATATTATTAATAAATAACGAGGCCTTTAGTAATAATATTATTATTTTATATACATAACAAAAGAAAAAAATCAAGTTTATGTGTAAATATTTAGTTACTAAGAATCACATTTCATACATACATCACATCTAGACTATATTTTAAACATTTTAACTGAATTAGCCTAAGAGGGAATGGATAATGAAATCTAAAGTAAATTATTATTTTATTTTTAAATGAAAAAGTTATGTCTTGTTTTTTGGGCATTTGCCTGCTTCTTAAATAGAAGATAAATCGAGTTTAGACAGTTTCTCTGCGTGCTGAAATTAAAGAACCAAAAAAATGTTGGCTTACATTTACTTTGTTTTTGAATTCTGATTATTAAAATTACTAATAATATTATGTTTTTCACTTGTCTTTAATAATAAATTGAGTAAACAAATTTATAGATTTTAAACTAAGTAAAAAATTGCCAGAAATTTATAATATTTAAAAATTATAGACTGAATATAATTTTCAACTATTAATATTGTCTATAGTAAATGTTATAATAAGTATATTTTATTTATAATAAGGTGATACTTATACTAATCAGATTAAACAAATATAATAAAAAAGACAAGGGATCACAAATATTTTTGTTGTTTTTGGTTTGTAGGCTTTTGATATATCTTTCAATAAGCATTGCAAGACAAATGAAATACATATAACAAAAAATACACTAAATTTGACATGAATACATTTTTTATAAACTCACCATGCTATGTATACATCTAGTAAGTGAAATATACAGCTTATTTGAAACGGTTGGCAAAAGCATTGGTAAGCTCATTGACAGCTACTTGTGCCACAGCTTGGCCGACCGCTTGTTGTACACGTTGCGGTATTTGCGGCATTGATCCTCGCCTATTATCGCCAATACCATCATAATAATATGAATATATAACTCGCGCATAGCTATTATTTTATAGTTACACATAATTCTAATACAAGTTATGATAATTATTTTTTATAAGATATAATAAAATGTTTGAATAAATATCAACAATCTAATTGTACCATAAACCCATTGGTATAACATTAATAAATTAGTATAAAACTGACACCAATAGTATTACCAGCAAAAGCATTTTTGGTAAGTTTTTATTATAATAAAATATATATATATATATATATATATATATTATAAATAATTTTAACTGGATAATAAGTATTGAATAATATGCTGATTGCTGAATTTAGTAACATTAATATAAATGTATATAACTATAACTACGCCTCGAAAAAATAAAATTTTGTTGTTAATAGTTGGTTTTATCTAAAATATTTTACTATCTAATTTTATACATAGTCAAGAAAAATTTTGATTTCAAACATTAAAAATGCAATTTAAATTGCTGTATTATAATATATTATAAATTGTATACATTTTTATAATTATATTTTCAATTTACAAATTACAACATCAAAATGTTAAATCGTTTACTATTTAGTTTCAAAATATTGAAGAGTTGGACACATAATAATTTACTTGAATGTTTAAACATTTAAAAATTGAAGTAAAATAATAAAATTATTGACATAATGAAAATAGAGCAATTATACTTTTTGATATGAAGAAACTAACTGAATTTACTAAATTTTTCTTGACTATGTAACTAGAAAACACATAATAATGAGCTTACACACTAAATAATTTCTAATCAGATATCACTTCTTAAATTGTCTTAATTATAATAAATTAATAACAATGTACATGGTCTAATTTTTTTTTAATTATGAGCTAAAAAAATAAAATAGTAGACAATATACCTTAAAATAGTTGAATAATAATATTTTATAAATGTAATTCACAATCACTATCAATGATAATAGTTAAAGGGTGACTGTGAGTATTCCTAATATAGGAAATTATTATAAATTATAAGAATTAGTACTTAAAGACTTACAAACTGTGAATTATTTAACAAATATTAGGTAACATACCTAGGTAAATAACATCTAATTACCTAGTACTGATGTGCTAACCTAGACAATGAGACTAACCAACATAACGAATACAAAACAAATATATATTATAAGTAAATAATTTTTTACAACAAAAAAATGATAATAAATACTATTATTAATCACTCAATTAAAAGAAATAAACAATGGATCAAATTTAGCTTACTCTGGCTTCAATTTAATGTGTATAGGTTAGTTGGTTATAAATATAGCGATTATTATTAATGAAGTTGCAGATTTAATCGGCCACTGAAGACATGCTCGACAATACATATTAACGGCGTCTGAAATGTAAAAAAACCACACCGTCGCCGTTGCTGCCTTATATACTAAATGTTAGTGACTCAAACTAACTACGGTTAGTGAGTACTATCATTAAGTACATAGCTAACTAGCTAATAATTGTTAGTAAAGCTAGTAGTTAGCTATGCACTAAATAATTACTAATTTTAATAAATGTAGAATTAACAGAGCTATTTTATATTAGATTCAATTTATGGGAACTTCTATGAGCTGTAAAAATAAATATATAAAGCAATGAAATACCCAAACTGACTTACGAAGGAATTAAAGGAGGAGGAAGTCCCTGGCCACCAGGCCTACCGGGTGGAGCAGGAGGTTGTCGTCCCTGCTCAGGCCCAGGTCTATTAGGTATTGCTGGAGCTGGTCTTCCTGTAGCTGGAGGTGGTGGAGGTGCTCTTGATGCTGCATTTGCAGGTGTTGGGTTAGATGGTACTCCTCTACGTCCAGCACCACCGGGGCTTGGTGGAGACAACCTTAATAATTACAAAAAATTAAGAATAAGAACTGTAATACGCACAAATATTTAATTAACGAATCTACCTTGGGTTATCAAGACTAGATGCAAGCCAATCATTCTTGACTGGTGGTGGAACAGGTGTGGTAACAGTAGCCATTGAAACATCACCAATAATTCTCAATGCTTCTTTACATGCTTGGTACATACGCATCATTTCTTCACGTTTTACGGCTTCTTCTGCACTTTCTTCCATCATTTGAGACTTAAATACAAAATCAATATTTAGATGTATAGTCTTAAAATACATTTATATTATTATTTTTATAAATAAATTTAAATTTATTAAGAAAAAAAATTATAATTTTTAACAACTTTAATGATCAAAATAATCAAGAATTATATAAAAGTTAATATTTTTTAGATGAATAGTTTTATTATTTAAGAACAGCTCACTCAAATGTATTTTGTATCATACAAATAAACAACATGGCAAACTTGTGTAAAGAATTCACATTGAATTTTAAGCTAAGTAAATTGATCAATTATCAAACTTAAAAGAATGAACACAATATGTATTTATGGTGGATTTTTACAATTATCATAAGATAACATATATAATATGTATGGTACCATATTTGATCTTAGCCTAGTTTCCTCTGTAAGACTTGCAAGCAATATATATATAAAAAAATAAGAACATAGATAACTGCTTTGCTATATAACAAGAATCAAATAAAACTCTTATTGAGTAAGTCAACATTTTTATCATGTAAATAAAAAACTAATATATAATATACATTAGGTGAACATTTCAATTACCTACTGTTATTCATTTTTGAGTTACATTAAGAAACCAAATAATTTTTGTCATATAATTTGGTAAAAAAAATCCTGTTTAATTTTTCACGATGATTTTTACTAGAAATTTTCAATTTTGACCTCTAAATAGTATTGAGAACATTTATAGATTTAATTTACTTTCAGAAACAACTGAAATCACCCTCAAAGTTGAAGAATAAAGTATTTTTTCTACTAAAAATTGTATTCGTATAAAAAAAGAAAAATACCCATGTTAATATAAAATACATTAAATGCTTGCTAGAATCTAAAATAACTATAGGTACATGATCAAGAATATTAATTATTAACCTTCTATCAGTCAAGTATCTAAAATAATAATTACAAGAAAATAAAGTTTCTTATTATATGCTTAGTGTAGCTTTTGTTATAATGCTTAGTTTTTGTAAAATTAATACATTGTTGATTCACTCAGATTTTAAAAATTACTAAGAATTAAAATAATTAAATTTACTTAAAATTATTTCTATAATTATAAATGAATACATATATATGTATAAAAATATTTTGGAACATTTTTATCCCACACACTTAATATGAAAAAAAATAAATATAAAGCAACTACTAATTGAAAGTTAAATAAATACATTTAACTATTTAGTAATTAAGTGTTATTGGTATAGTTATATGTCTACTTTCCATTGTTCTAAAAGATTAAAAATAGAAAATAACAAGTGATGCACTCACTTTTTGATGTCAATGTAACTAATTTGTCTGAAGTTTAATATTTGTATCATTTCATTAAAGTTTCTATTTTTTATTTATTTTAATTTTCAGTTAATCAATGGCAAGAACAATGAACACTAACAATAAACAATATTTTCTTTTTTTCTATATAAAATTTTAATTAAATATTTAATTTTTCTTATTTATAATAATGTAAAATGAAAACTTTTTTAAATATCAACAAGTATAAAATAAATGAGTCAATAAATTGTTGAAGTAGTATTTACAAAATAAAATAGGCTTTTGTTAGTGTTTGACATTGCTCTGTCAAATTATCTGACAACTAAACAATACACTTTATTGATAATTAATATTTACGATATTCAAGAATATTTATTATACATAAATTACCTGATCACCAGATGCATATAGATGAGCTAATAATTCTCCATTAATAAAATCTTTTGAGTTGTTTATAATCAAATGCATAATGATTTTAGGGACTAGATCGCGACAAGATTTTGTAACAATTTTCATATATGAATCAACTAGATTTCTAATAGTCTCTACTTGTCTTTCCAAAACTGGATCCATAGATGTAGTTGATTCTGTACTGCTCTATAATAGTAAAATGTTAAGTTGATAAATATTTTATGAAATATTAATGAGAAATTAAAATGTGACACTAACCTCACGACCATCCTGATCGAAAGGCAAAAAAATTATAGAAAAAAAATAATTAATCATTTAAAAAATTAAAAATACATATATAATTAGCAAATGTAAATTAATAAAATTTTACCTCATCACTATTGGATACATCTGATGATTTTTCTGGGTAAACACCTGCACGTAAAAATGATGCTTTCCAAGAATCTACATCATCTTGTGTTTCACAACTCAATTCAAGCTGTTTATAGTCCTGAAAATATATATTTATGTAATTAAAAAAATGTTAAAAACCAAATCTCCACTGATCTTTTAAGAAAAGTTAAATATAAAAATAAACTATAATTGTTAGTAACATTGATAAAACATAATACTATATTATTAATTAAAAAAAAATGAATATGAAATTAATTTTCCATTAAATAAAAAAACCAGTGAAGAGTAGGCTTAATATTTCACATAATTCAATTCAAAATTCACCTTGTAAACATTACGGCCTTCTGGATTAAATAGCGCAAAAGTGTGACGACGTGACATAAAACCTTGTTCAACATCTTTGATTTTCAATCCATCTAATGGTAACATGTATTTTTTTTCTCTTTCCTTTAAAAATAACAATTATTTATTTTCATAAACTATCTAATAAAAAATATGTATTTAATTTAATGTAAATACCTCTTCATCTTTGAACCATGAGATATTTTCAGACATTAAAACAAACCAATAATCCCTAGATCCTCCTTTCATAATGCCCAAATTGTGTATACACATCCATCCTTTACGTATCACTTGATTGCCAAGCTTATGAGTTTTGTTGGAATTATCAGATGACTGTTGTGCACTTGAATACAATAATATAAAACATAATAAATTAATAATTTTTAATATGGTTAATATACAATAAATTGTTACATACTTAGCAAATCCAATAAAATCTTCATGATTTGTATTCATATACGCTAATTCACATTCAACCAATAGAATTAACTGTTCTTTACACATTTGTTCACGATTACGAATATACGATGTAATTATACGTTCTGTTTCTTCTCGTAAACGTGGATACCTGGACATCTATAAAATCAAAAAATAAAATTATCTTAAAATAACTTTACACAAATCAAAAATGTATATAATAAAATTTATGTTCATACCTTATCTGTACAAATTCTAACTACGTTAGATAATTCATTAACAACAAGATCGGTACATTTCAGTGATGGTTCTTTCAATCTAGCAATTTGTTTTTTCACAATAGCTTCAAATGCCATATCAGGTGTAAACAAACCCACTCTTATACCTATAAAAAATATATAGATATTTATTTCTGACTGTTGAAAAATTATCTTTTAATATATTACACACCATGAATGTTTCTGATGGCAAATGCTATTTCTCTCCTTAGTTCTTTTTCATCAATTTCCATTTTCACAATTTCAAAAGGGAAACGTTCATGGAACAAACGATTAATTTTAGCACCTCCAGATAATTCATTGGTATTTATCTGAGCAGAACCAGAACCTTCAATTGTGCGTTCAAAATCAGATTGAAGTTGTTGAATCATTCTACATTCACAAGAAAATGATAATTTATAATATATGATTAAACACTAAATGATTTTAAATTTCTTACTGTAACATTGCTTTGGTTTTAATAGCTGGATCATCTGGCCTAAAATATTTAAACTGTTCGACATCCTTTTCTAATGTAAGTAATTGTTTCTAAAAATAATCATATAATAAGTGACCATGAGCTATACAAAAATAAAACAAAACATACTTGTAATTTATCCCTAAGTCCTGGCAATGTATCTCTTATATGATTTGTGAGCTGTTGATTCAAAACTCTTTGCAAATAAGGTGTACCGAGTCTGTCAGCCATGTGTCTATAAGCTGGGTGTCTAAAAAGTAAAATTATTGTTTATTTGAATAAATACTCTTTTAGATTAAAATTTTTAACTAAATAAAAAATATTCTACCTACCCCAAGAAAAATTTTCTTTCTGCACTTAAAGCAGCTTTTATATCTTTACGTCCATCGATATCTTTCTGACTCCTGTTTACTACACCAATGTAACCACGTCTGAGAGGTAGAAGCTTGTTCTCCAGTATGTCTCTAGCATCAGTTCCTTCATCCATCAGATCCAATTTTGTTATAACACCAATAGTTCGCATACCTAAAGAATTAATGCAGTATGTTATAATATAATGTAAAAATACAGAAATTATGTGTAAAATGTGCATTTAACTAATTTTAATAACAACATATTAAATTTTAAATTTAAAAAAATATGCATACAACATTTGTTGATAAGACATGAACATGCTTTTTTAAAATTATGATAGGTAAATGGTTGCAATGGTTAAAAAACTATAGTGGATGTAAATTATTCATTTTTTAATGAAAATAAAATATGCATAAATCTAAGGTAATAATGATAAAAAAAAGTAGGATTTATGATTTTATACATAGCATGCAGTTTCACTACTATACGTCATGATAAATTTCTAAATAAACACATTTATAAGTGTCTGATAACTTATAAAATCGATTAATAACTTCAAAATTGACATAATAAATTCAACCAGTGAATAGTAATTCTTATTCCAATGTTATCAACACTTAAAATTTTAATTATTTATTGTTTTAAAATTATTAAATGTCAAAATAAAGTGTACAACCTGACAATATATATCAAAAATCATCACAGCAATATAGGGATAAAATGAAACAAATTTAATCGTTTTAATAGGTTAATTTGATTTTTTTTTCTATAGCGTTCATAATTTTTCTTATAAATAATCACTTTGCATTGATTATATTGGTATGGTAGATACTGATTTTTTAAAAAAGTTTATTATTCCATAAAATATAGGTAAATGGAAAACTTATCATTTCTTACCTTCAGGATCCACTTCTTTAGAAATTTTTAATGCATCACTGTTGGCCAAATCCTGGTTAGCTGGTGTTACAGCCAAAATCAGGCAATTATCTCGTTTAACAAAAGTGAATAACATTGATCTTATTTGATGCTCTATGTCGGGAGGTTGGTCCCCAACAGGTACTTTGGTCATACCAGGCAAATCAACAAGGGTCAGGTTCAACACTAAAAAATAATACTAGCAAAACTACACAACAGCCATGAAAACTAATAACATTGAAAAATGTATGACTCGTTCCCTAACTCTATACCTTGATTTATAACCAATTACTAATTATTTTTATGTACTATTATAGTCTTCAGTCAGGAGTAAACCATTAGATCAGAAAACATTTTTCTTTGAGGTTTAGAGAAACAAAAAAAAAAAAAACATTTAAGCAATGTACAAAGAACTTCTAAAGAATACTAAAAAACGACAAAATTGCTAATAGCATGACTTGGTGCAATATTTTCGAGCAGACTACTGGCCGATTAACGTTTACCGTCTGGGTCAACTTGTTTTGCAATTTGTAAGGCATCTGAAGTAGCCAAATCAGCATTAGCTGGAGAAACAGCTAATATAAGACAAGTTTCTTTTGTGATAAATTGGAACAGCATGTCTTTGATTTGTTGTTCAATGTCAGGTGGTTGATCACCAACTGGTACTTTTGTCAAACCAGGCAAGTCGATCATAGTGATGTTTAAAACTGTTTACAGACGTTATAAATAATAACCATAATAAAATGGTATAACATTTAAACAATATTTTTAAATTAGTTGCAAAATTAATGAATAAAACTAACAGTTTTTAGATCATAATAAAAAAAAAATTAAATAATACTATTAGATAACAGTATTATTTACTCAGTGGATACCGAGCATCTATTTTTTTCAAAAACCAAATAAACATTAAATGAAGAATATAGGAATTAAATAAATTTTATAAACTATTTAATCTATAGAAATCAAAGGTAAAACTATTTTTTTTAATGTTTCTATATATTACATAAGAAAAATGAAATAAAATTTCTGTGAATAAATGTATTTCAAATTTCTTAATGATACAAGTAGGATATTATAGATACTGTACTTACCATTAGGAGAATATACCCTTAAATTTATTGGTATGTTTGAAATTCCTTTATTAGATCCAGTCATACGATCAGTTTCGTTTTCTATTTCACGTCTAATTTCATCAAAATCTGGAAACTTTTTTCCTTTGCAATGAAGAAATTCTCCATATTCTATAAAAAGTAAAAAATTAAATTATAAAAATAAATAACCAAAAGTATTTAATTATTTGGGTACTAAAACTAAATCTTTTTTTTGATTTACTTGATTTAATTTAATTGTATAGTACAAATTGAATATATCAATTATTACATTTTTTTTAGATGATTTAACAAATAAAAATATATTTTTATAAGCTAAGATGAAGGTTAGAAATGAATATAATTGTTTTTATTAATGATGTCAAAAAATAAATGATTTTAATAAATGGGATGCAATAGAAGTTAAATGGTACTTAAAAAGGTCATAATTTATTAAAAATGTATTGAAATGTTTATGTTCAATAAATTCAAAGTTAAAATTGGTATTGACCTTAGGTACGAGTTTTCAAGTTTGTTTTAATAAAATATCTTTTTTTATAAGGTATTTGATACATATTGATAGTAAGGAAGGATTATTTGATTCGATTAATATTAAAAAGAAAAATTACTTATAAATTTTTGAACTCGGTTATGCACCAAAAATCTTAACACTTTACATAATAAATAATGTAACTTACCCAATGTACTATTTATCAATTGAAGAATAAGAGGACGACGAGTTACAATTCCAGAACCTCTTGGAAGAAAATCCCTAAAATTAAAAAGTATATTTTAAATAACAATATAAGTTAAAAAACTAAAATATAAAACTTTTTCAAAGAATAAGTATAAACATTGAAACGACATAATTTGAGTTTACATTTTTTACAAAAATACTAGTAAATTATCATTTAGTATGTACCTAATTGAATAAGTATATACCTAGAATGGCAAAACTATGACACATAAATTGTATCTAATGACTTATTTTGAATAATATAGAGCAGCTAACTGTCTTTGTCAGATATAGTCATACAAATATTAAAAATCTTTCTTAAAATATGTTTTTTTGAAAAATTTGTTTTTTAAGGGATTCAACAATCTTAAAAGAATGTAGTACTCACATGTGTGCTTTCATCTTATTAATACAAAACACAACAAATTTTACATTTGGAAAAATCAGTTTTTTTCTGCTCTGTTTAATATTTGAGTGAATTAACTATTATTAAATTTAAAGTTAAGACTATAAGAATACTTCAAAATTAAAATACCTATCAAAAAACCCATTGTTTGAATTTGAGTTAATTTTTTTTAAAGCCACAGTTGTAATTCATTTTCACTAAGGGGCATAAATTTCACACATCTAATTAAGTTTGGCACTAAAGAATAATAAGTAAAATAACTTGTATTTGTATCTAGTTCAAATAATATTATTTATATTATATTTTCTTATCAATAGTTACTTATAACTTTATGCGTGTATCTAATTTTTAAAATATTTTAAGCTAAGTACTTATTAGAAAGTGAATTGTTGAAATTAATTTTAAAAGTTACACATGAGTAAATATGGAACATTATATTAATTTATAAAATAAAAAAAAACCATTGAACAAAATTTCTAATTGTGAATCAAATCTATAACTAGATTTCTCTTTATTAAATAGGTAAAATAAGTGGGGATGAATGAAATATACTTCAATAATTATACATAGGTAGTGAAAAACCAACCTAAATAATAATTTAGGTACCTACCAAAATATTTAATATACTTATAATTATAAAACATTGAATCTAATAGTTATAAACTATTTATTAAACATTAGTACCAAAAAAATGTTACAACTAATATGATTAACTATAAAGTCAAAATTTTAGAAAATAGATAAAATTCAAACATCTAATAAGGAAACACAAACCTTAAAAAATTGTAAGATATCTATCGATAAAACTGTTGTTGAAATATTTAAAATCAACAAAAATACTTTTTTTAGTGAATCTACTATTTTTCATAACATACATTTTTATCTTATCAACAAAATAAATTTATGAGAACTGATTTAATGTATTATTTTCTATAAGTAAATTAATTTACTAATGCTTTAATATAGTTATTAAATATAGTAATATAGTAATGCTATTTTTCAAACAGGGTCAATAGGTGTTATGTTAAAAAATGTACATGTGTTTATCATCATGTCTCTTGAAACCAATAATCATTATGTTGTTTTAAACCATAAATTGTTTAATTATGTACCTATTTGTATATAAAATAAAAAAAATTGCTCACAATTTAAACTTTAAACAGCCTTACAGTAAAATTATATCCTCTAGATTTGTACACCTTGTAAGTAGAAATTAATTAGTACCATTACCGTTATTCAAGAGTTTAATTATTCTAATCAAAATCTTTTCAAATTTATTGTTTTATATAATAATTATAGATCAAGTTAAATTAATTATCAATTAAATAATTAAATGTACCTACTTAAATCAATAATTACAGAACACTATTATTTTGGTACTATAGATACTCCAAAGATTAAAAAATATTGAATAGACACAAAATATTCATTAGTTTAGATTAAAACGAAGATTAAAAACAATTACAGTTATAACTTATAACCATAGTACCTAAAGACGTTTGAAATATATGTATGTTGAAATTAACAATATTTAACAATCAATGTAAAACATATTATACATTTAAACATCAACTGATTAACTATCAATATGTAAATGAACCCATACCCAACTGCCATAATATAATATACATGTCATAACTATAAACTGAGATATGTACTTCATTTGAATATTTCACCAATAAGCACATGCTTATTATATTTAGTATTTACTAGATGCACTACATTTGTGTAACTAGAGGTATTTCTTAAATAAATATTACTATATAATTCATACAACTCAACATCCAAATGATGAAATCACAATACCTAGGTAGGTAGATCCCTTTCTTGTAGCTACTAAAATATGTAAATTTGACTCTAATCTCATTTACTTTTTAATGAACAAATATTCAGAAAAAACCAATAGGTACAAGACATAAAATAAATAGCGCAAATAGAAATGACGAAAACATTCTGCGTGTTACTATAGAAATAAATATGAAACTAGTATTAGCCATAGGCTTCATCATTATAAAAAGAGATGTTTAATATTGTTTGAAATGAAACGAGAAGACTACTATCGTATAAGAGTAATTGGAAAATTTGGAGACACCGCCAAACAAATAATAGGATGGTTGATGTAAAAAAAAAATGATGTCTAACATCAGAAATTTTTTTTACTAATTAAGATAATGTTTCACACTGAACATATTTGAGCATAAATTGAAACAGTAATAAAGTTCTGGCAGTAGGGTACAAGCAAGTCGCGCATCGGCGAACCCAAGACAAGTGTGTTTTGCTTTACCTTCCCACAAAGTTTTCCAGCACAGAACTTTTACCAGCACTCTGACCACCGACCACCGCGATCTGGGGTAGGTCAAGCTGCATGTGCACGCCCAGCTGGGTGAACGCATCTTGGAGTTTGTTTACGATGGGTATCAACTGTTCCATGCCCATGTTGCCGGCCATCGTGGACAGCAGCGAAGAGCTAGTGTGGACGAATGTGTCTCACCGAAGACGACAACGGTCCAACGTCGGATAAACGACGACGGACAATCGGCGGACTCTATATAATACACCTGCGACGATATCGCGGCGGTGACGACACACACGCACTACCCACAATCACTCTTCACACCGTCCGCGGGACAATAAACGTCACCACTGGCAGCAGCAGAAGCAAAACATACGGACGGAAGCGATCGTTCGTACGAATACGAATGATTGTGCGTGTGCGCGCGCGCACTAGCATGTGTGTAAGTAAACTGCCGTGTGTGTGTGTCTGAGTGTGCGTGCGGCGGCAAGTGGCAACGATTACAGTCAAACGTTCCGGCTCTTTCGGATTCCGACGAATGACACCGACCGAGTACGAGCGGTACAGAGCGCGACTGCCGATCGACGGGCCGCTGTTCGGCGTCCGAGCGCGCCCGAATTCAAACGAAACCTCGTTGCGGCCCAAACGTTTCAAAATCCGAAACACTTCGGGCATTCAAACAACCTTACAGACGACATTTACGCGCGGTCCCAGGGCCGTGTGGTCGTTGGCCGCAGCGTGTACGATCAAGCTGCAATTTAAAATACAAGAAGCCGAATTTTCAGCCGGTAAAATACCCAAGACTTTTCTACCGAAAGTAAAACGTTTCGAAACGGGAAAAGAAACGCCGCCAAATCCGTTGGGTTTAGAGTGTTTCGACTGTTTAGAGATCGAAAACGGTCCTGCGCGGCGGCGGCCGAACAGCGGTCGTCACACCAGTGCGCGCCACGCCCCACCGCCAGCCTACCAGTCACTGGTCGACTCGTTGCCGCCGCGCCGATGAGGAGGTAAAAAGCTCTTGCGCCAACGACGACGCCACCGCACTAAGTTATACTTTACGCACGATGTCGACCCTTTATCGATTCCTTTTTCACCATTCCGCATTTCCGCGCTCGGTGCGTGCTATATACATGGCATAATATCGACAACGAAGAAAATTCTTGCCCCGCAATTATTACATAATGATTATTATTATTATTATTATTATTATTATTTATATCGCACTGCATAATGCACGAGCGCAGAGCATACGCGATTGTAATAAATAATAATAATATATTATCGTGTCAATTTTTTATACTCCAAACGCCCACCAAATGTCGTATGAAATATCATATTAAATATACAAAACGTCGAATCTTCTCGCTTATCGAAAACATAATTGATATATTGTATTTGGTGAAATCGTATAATAAATTAATTATAAGAACACAGACGCTACATGCGTGCGTCATCATTATACCAAATTATTGTTAAATCGTCTCGAGCGCGCGGGTGAAGTGTATTGCATTATTATAATATTATTACGAGTTATTTGCTAACACCATCAATGAACAAAAAAAAAAAAAAAATACGTACGTAAACGTGTATAAAAAAATTTAAACATGGATTCATATAATGTCTATGTGCGTATATATTATATAGGCACCGCAGACCGTAGTTTTATTGTTCTGTAGCCTGTGCCGTATAGTGTGTACCTAATGTCTACATAGACGGACAGATTTGCACAACTGCACAAGTGTCCCCGCGAGGAGTGGTGCCTCGTGCCTATGCTAGTACTGACGACCGACATAATATATTTCCATGTATAATGTTTATATACATAACATTTATTTACGTGTGTCATCCACATTACACATACAGAACTGTGCATTGCATTATTATTATCTGTTATTGTTATGGTATTGTTTTGTTCGGTAACAAAAAAAAACTAATTTGTACAAAATATTTGGTCGTTAATTGTATCGCGTATGATATTTTAGTCTATGGTTGTTTTTAGCACTAGGGAGGTATGTGATCTATGATCTATGTATCAGGTGCAGGCCAACAGGTCGATCGCGGCGCTCTTTCGTCTTTTCTTGAAATTTTTTCAGAAAACAAATGATAATAAGTCAAAAGTTATAATTTGTAACCAAATATATTAAAACGCTTATTGTGTAAAACTATGAAATTAAATGTTATTATTATTTATCAATATCCTAAATAAAAGAAATAAAAAATCTGTAACACGCATGTATTTAAAATATATTTTTGTTTATTAAAAACCTTTTTTTTTTGTAGATCGCGAAAAATTCAGAGGTCGATTACAAGTCTATTAAAGTTGATCATCCCGGGTTTACATTATGCTGTCAGAGGTACGAACTGGATTTTACTCCGGTATACTAAACTCTTCATCCACATCCTATACGATAGTTGTTTTCGTGACAGCTGAAACGTAAAAAAAAAATTTAACCGTAATACTTCGTTTCGGGAAAATCAAAAAACATAACACGATGCGCTGGAAAAAAAATCGGCTACATAAACGTCCGTAACGAAATGAATTAATAATCGTCACAAATCGCCGTTATAATATAAATTATAATATATATAGTACATATAGGAGACGATTTTTGTCGTATTCATACCTACATAATATTATATATAGAATCACGATGTCCTACAAAGAATATTAAGTCTAATTTGTATGAAGTTTTATTTGTACATAGATTCAATAGGAATTTTTATTCAGTTTAGTGACACCCGGACTATATTTTTCTAGTGTAGCTAAGTTAAGATTTTCATCTACCAGCATTTACCAACCTGCATATCCATGAAATACCGTTATGACGATCCTCTATAAAATGCTATCATACATAATAATATATGTATTTATTTTTTTTTTATGATGGGAGAGATTTTAGTTAGATGCTATTTTAATCTCCACGATTATAGTTAGGTAGGACATGACGTGTGTCTAGCTAAAATTCTCAGGTGTAATTATACTCATCCGGCAACTATAACAACTAGCCGTTAGCTTAATACCTACATAGTCATATTTCAAATTACACTCGTGTAACCTAACCCATAACACAATAGAGGTGACCCTAAAAAAATTATGTCTAGAGGAGAAAAAGCATTTTATTCAACCATTAATTTTTAGATAGGAAGTACCTATCGGTTTCTCCAACCGCTAAATGTTGACAACTTTACAGACGCGTGCGCGAACGCCTCTGTTGTTCAATTCTGCAGGCGAAACAAGTCTTGTACCAGTTGTATCTATATACGCGGGTATATGAGTATGGGAAATGGGAATGCATTTATTCTACAAACAGTGCAAATTACGACAGTACAAGACTGTAATTAGACATTAATATTATCTATTGCACAGCGCATGGCTAAATGTTATTTATATGGGGGGTGTGGGTGGCAAAGCCTCCCACGTTTATATTTCAATCATATTTAAGCGTATACTCACTAAAAAAATTACAACTACATCACTGCCTATATAAGCTATATTTATGACTTGCAAGATTCGTCACAAAAATAAAAATTATAATTATTATTTAGATTTTACTAAATGGCTTATTAATTTATTTTATGTAGGAAGATTTAAGTCACCCCTTAATTCATTTAAAAATATCTACCTATGACAACAGTCGGCTACAACCATTTTATAGTTTTCTCTTTGGAAGCTGAACTACAACTATGAATTTTTCCAGTTTTGGTTTCAAGTTTCAATTATTAGTCTTAATTCTTTACGTTTATATTACACTAATGTATTTTGTATTCATCATTTTTGTCTTAATAAATTGAATAATGCAATATACAAAATGTATAGATACTCATTAAAGTTTAATTTTTATATTAGATCAATAAATTAAACCAATAACTTTAAAACAATAAATAAATTACTGTTAAAATACTTGTCCTTATTATAAATTATAATATGTATATAAATGTATTCAACAAGTTATAACTATAATAAACTAATAACTCGCACAAGTGCAAGATCGTTTCAGAGATGAGTATCTCTCTATCTCAGTATTTAACCTATAGGTAAATCCTTAAAATAGTAATAGATTTTGCTTATTTATCGTAATTTAAATATAATATAGATAATAATATTATAACATTTTCAGTAAAAAAGCGCTTCTATTATAATTCACGATCTTACTCAACATTTATACAACAAATTAAATAAATACTTATCTACAATTAACCAAATATATAAAAACCAAAACGTTAATATATATATAATATTATAGGCATATTTTTATTTTTGCAGGTGACAATAAATACTTTTAAACATCCAATATTTTATTGAACGGTATAGTAAATTATACATGCATTTTTTGTTTAGGAAGGGATTAATAAAAAAACTTGACTAATTTTTAAAAAATAGAAGTGTTAAGGTATTAATATAAATCCCGAAAAAAAGTTTACAAATAGAGCGTGAAATTATATGATCTTACAAACAATGATGAAAATTATTTTTTAAAAAACATATGTTTTTTTTTAGTTTTGATTCAATTTGTAAATAAAACAACCGTATTATGTACATAATATATGTTTTTCATTTATTATCTTTGCCTATATGGTTGTATATACTTGCAAGTGACAAAAATTTTTTTTATCAAACTTTTGTGAAGTCGCAATGAATGGCCATTATTATTTGGAACATCCACATACTATACTTTGGTAAAACATAATACGTAGTTAACATAATATGTTGAAGTTAAGTAAAAAAAAATTTACATTTTAGTTGGGTTATTTATGGTAAATGCATATTAAAATGTATTTATTCTAATAAATTATAAGGATGTATATTTTATAAGCTTTAAAATACTCAGAAAATGTTTTCAACGTGCTTTAAAGTTCAAAAAGTTCGAAAATTGTAAAAAAAAATATTAATTAAAAAAAATGAAAGATTTAATAAGCATTGAGCTAAACTTTATCTTAGCAATATTAAAAATATCTACTAATATATATATATATTATTATTCATTTATTGCTATTTGTGTTGAATTCTACATAAAATAATATCAATAATAGACATTTTTTTTTAAATTATAACATTTACAATAATAAGTGAATTAAAGTCTAGTTCAGCTAAAGTATTTTAAATATTAGAACGGGGCGTTTGAATGATGTGATTTTCTGATTATAGTCTTGAACGGACGGTATAAGCTGCGTGGAAAAAATGTGTATGATTTATTCGGGTATTCGGAATTTACATTGTTCAAATTATCGATGATTTTATTGAAATAATTGCAACCCCTGTTTTACCAAAAAATTTAAAAAAATGGCATTGAATTTTAATTTTCAAGTGAAATCATTAAGTACTTCGGCTACTTTTAAATTGTAATAATTTATTTTAAAATATATATGAATTATGAATAATTAGTTGATTGTTTTTAAAAATTATGAGCTGAACTTTATTGAATTTATATTTTGGTTTAAGATATTGTTTAGTGATTCTCACTGCAGTTAGAAGTATCAAATAATTTTTATTTTGGGTCTTCATCAGCTAATAATAATGCAACTTAATAATTTCAAACACGTGATTCGGCGA